TCGCGTTATCTCGAATCAAATGCTTTGGTATTTTAGCATACGTTTAGCACAGATAGAAGCAATCGATATTCGAGTGTTGACCCATAGCGAAGTACTCTCTAATAGTATTCTGTTTGTCGCACGCTACGTCGTCGAATACGAATATAGAATTCAGGAGCGCTTCGCTAGGCGAAATAACGTCGGAGTTATCGGAAAATGTGAAATAACCTATATCTTCCATCGGTGCCAATAAATTCTCTAAATACTGATATTTATCAGGGCGAGATCTTTGTGTTTATATACAAATAGATCGCCGTCGATCGCGCAGTAGCGAATCGCGCGCGGTGAATCGAGATGTTTATTTTATTAATAGACGGTGACGATATTCTCGATTTCACCACCGATCAATTGCGGTTTATCCCGAAAGTAATTTTACTAAAACACTTCGGTCGCTATGTGGAACGATTGTGGGAGAAACTGCCCGAACATATAAGATTGGATCCGGAGGTGCGGCGCTACCGTCGATGCCTGGAGCATTACAATCGTCCCTGGCAACGAACGCACATCGACGGCCCGGCGCCGATCGTTAAAGATTGTAGCGAATGCAATTAGCAAAGCAGCGGTACGGTGTAATCGATGATATCAGCGGCGCAGGATTATTGAATAGAGCGATAAACGCGCTCCCCTTCGAATTACATATACTCGGATATCAATTTTGTGGGCCGGGTACTCGTCTCGCGAAACGATTAGCGCGAGGCGATCGAGGCATCAATCCTCTGGACGCGGCCTGCCGCGAGCACGATATCGCGTACTCGCGGAGCGGCGAGCTCACCGATCGACACACCGCTGACCGCGCGCTCGCTGAGAGAGCGCGCGAGCGCGTCGCGGCTAAAGACTCGACTCTCGGCGAGAGAGCCGCCGCGACGGCTGTATGGATAGCTATGAAATCGAAAACAAAACTTGGAATGGGCGCGACGAGAATCAAGAGAAAAAAGAGCAAAAGGAGGGCGACCGCTACGAGGAAAAGAACGCTACCGATAGCGAAACGCGGCGGCTTCTTGCCCCTGCTGCCGTTATTGTGAGCTCTCGGTTCTTTGTCTGGAGGAGCGGCGGGAATCGCGAAAGCTGTGCACGATCGCAAAGCGGCGCGACGACAGTTGGAGGAATTGCAGCGTCACGATCGCGCAATGGAGGGTCGTGGTTTATACCTCGCACCGTACAAGCATGGTAGTGGCGCGTCCACGACGAAAAGAAGAGGAAGAGCTAAAAAAAAACTTCGCGTAAACAGACGCTAGGAATTCTCCCATCCGTCGGAGTAACGACGAATGAACAATTAAATCGCGCGGCGATATTCTCGCGCGTGCCTCACTTTAGAGGCGTGTTTATGCGCGACGCGCTTCCATCGCGGGCGCGCCGCGATGAGAGCGGCATCGTGAATTTAGACGACGCATCCGGCCTGGGTACTCATTGGGTGGCATATGCGAAAAAAGGGGGCGACGCGATCTATTACGACGGTTTCGGCAATCTTCGTCCTCCGCGCGAACTCGCGCGTTATCTCGGGCGCGATGCTAATATTCGATACAATCGTCGCTCCGAGCAAACGCGCGATCAGAATATCTGTGGACAATTGAGTCTTCGATTTCTCGGATGGGATTTATCAGCGGCAACTCATTCGTCGATCAACGATTTCAACTTTTGCGTACCTCTCAGTGTGTTATTAGGTTTTTGTAAAGATTACAAGCGTGTCGTAATCAACGCGCGACACGAACTTGTTCTAATACGAGCGCGTAATGACAACAATTGTATCATATCGCGCGAAACGCAAGAGCCTAAAATCGTTTTATTAAAGATACAGTGGCAAATGCCACATATAGTGTTAAACGATATTAATAATCTAAGGTTATTGCGCACATTGGATAGCGGACAATATCTGAGCGTCGCTTTTCGCTCGTGGGATCTCTACGAGTTTCCGGGATATCAAACGTCTGGAAACTCTAAACGCTTCGCGGGCCGTTCGCTGCGGATATCACGCGAAAAATTGCGCGTTAGAGAACGCTTATAAATTGCACGATTGGTGGTTCGAACGATGCGATCATTTGCGTAATATGTGCTATTGATTCTATATTATATTACTTTATATCGATTCGTTTGTATTATAAATTATATCGAATTATTGTATATTATGCATCATTATATATAACATATCGAGACACTTATTTAATCTATAAATGTAATTATATTTTAAGCTTTATATAATGTATCGAATCTATTATCAATTATATAACCTACAAATTTAATTATACCGAGAGGAACTCGATCGTCCGCTGGATATCGCGCATCCCAGTTCGCTCACCGTCGAAAGGTCGCGTCCCTCTAATCGGGGCGAACTGCGACTCTTTTTCGAACGAATCGCATTTCCTCTTCCCCCACCCGCACCCAATTCGTCAACGATAAAAATAGGCATCTCGCCGAACGCGCGAATCAATCGCGCCCGGCGTCTCTCGATAGTTTCCCGCGTCTTTCCCCGCTCCGCGCGATGACTAACGCGAAGACGGTTCTTCTCGTCTTAGCGACAACGCTCGTCGCCGCGCCCGTTGATTCGGAAAAGGCCGAGGCGCTTCGCTTCCTGCGCGCGTACGGTTTTCTAAAGGACAACGGAGAATCGTTATCATCCGATAACGCGACATCTCTGCGTCGCGCTTTGTCGCTGTTTCAGGAATACTATCAATTATCAGGAAACGGCGAGTTAGACGCAGTTACGCTTAGCCTTATGCGCAAATCGCGATGCGGTCTCGCGGATATTCCCGATCGCGCGTATAGCCCGATCGCGCGAAAATGGCCGAAAACGCGCCACGCGTGAAATTTTCAGGTAGCTAGCGAGGAACTCTCGCGAACGGCCGAAGCGGCGTTCGCGTTATGGGCGGTGAATTCGTCGCTAACCTTCGCGCGCGACCCGCAGCGACCCGATATATTGATATCGTATCGAACGGGCGCGCACACTTACGCGAATCGC